TTAAACTTTTTATAAAATAAAGATTTTTTTGTAATATTTTCCTTTTTATTTCGCGTAAGTAATGCCCTGGATCTCTGTACTAAACATAATTAATTAATTAATTAATCACTCATATTACTTCAGGTTTTTTATGAATTATTATGAAATCCAAATAAAACCTTTGCATCAAATTAATATATTGGCATCAAAAACCAGAAATTCTGTGTTTCTATATAAATGTTACAATATTGTTTTTATTGATAAATAATTTTAAATAGGATATGAGAATTTTAATATGTTCTAGTACATTCTTCGGGCATTTGCCCTTAGATCTAAATATTAAGTGCAAATGAATGGTTCTTAGTATATAAGAAGTAGAATTAATTATATGGTTATTATTAAAATAAAAGTTTCACATTGGTAAAAGTAAACGAAAACTGATATGAAATGAATAAAATAATTATCTTATGCATAGTGTTGGGATTGATTGGTTGTGGTAAGAAATATATTGATAAAAATATAGCAAATGTTTGATTGATATATGATACCAAACGAAATAGGATGGGCTGAGCAGTCGTGCTCTGCATTGGACGGCCCGTGCGGTGGTTCAGCTAAGAGACAGTGCTGTGCTGAGGGACAGAGCTGTGTTGCCACGGATATTGAACGTGACAGTAACGGCCGGTTTGTGGCCTACACCGGGGTTTGTAAACGCAATTGTGGGTCATTGTGGGCGATGTGTACCCTCGGATATAACAGCTGTTGCACCGAATTGGGACTCGTATGTCGGGAAACTGGTAATGCTAGAGGTACCGGTTGGGGACAGTGCTCGCCACAATAAGTAATCAAAAACTTTCAAACTTGTTAATCAGCTAATTGTTTTAATAATTATTCAAATTGATAAATAAAAGCATTTAATAAAAACAAGTTGGTGTTTATTAAATATATTAAGTTTAACTGTAAAATATTTCAAATAAAAAGTCGAGTTAAAATAAATATAGTGACAATTTAACATAGCTTTGCCCAGGACCAAAGACTGAATATAAACGACTCAAAATAATCCTGAGCAGCTAATACCCAGAATTAGTAATTCAAAATTATATATTAAACATTTGTACATTTATTGCACATTTAATATAATTGTCAGTAAATAAACCTTGCATGTTAGTTTACAAACTCACATAATAATTTAAACGATAGTTGAACAGAGTAAGTTCGGTTACATACCATTAGATATATAGGTATTGTACTTTGTTTAAGACATTTTAAAAGAGATATTCTTAAAAATAAAATTTAGTTAAAATAAGTGTTTAAATATAATTTCCAAGTTAAGATTTAAACGTTCAGATATTANAATTTAGTTAAAATAAGTGTTTAAATATAATTTCCAAGTTAAGATTTAAACGTTCAGATATTACCGTTTGTTTTGGACATATGTTTTGAACATATTCATAAATCACTTATAATATTGCAAGTTTATTTTACACTATGGAAAAACAATTTCATAATTAATTATAAATTATTAATTAAAATTGCCAAAATAGAAATGAAAACAATTAATTTATTACAAAAACGAAAATTCTGTTAATTTATATCAATGTTATAAGATTCTTTTCAAATTGATATATTAGTTTAAACAGATATATGCAACAAAAAATTACCCTGCACATTACAGGACATTTGTCCTCGTAAGTTCAAACTTTAAATTTAAGTTTGCAAATTAGATAGTTTTTTGTATATAAAAGTAAAAACTGTTCAAATGATTATAAACATATTCAAGTCTTATAATTAAAAGTTTTAAGAGTAAAATCTAACTTTTATCAAATGAGTAGAATAGTCATTATATGCTTAGTGTTGGGATTCATCGGCACCGGTAAGAAATATATGCATTTTATGTATGGAAAGAATTTACTTATTTTTTATATCAAACCAAATAGTATGGGCTAAACAAAAGTCTTGCTCTGAAAACTGGGAATCATGTGGTGGTGTGGCTAAGAGACAGTGTTGTAACCATAACCCCTTTACCCCCATAACCCCCATAACCCCCATAACCCCCATAACCCCCTAACACATCTCATCTCATTGTCATTAAATTAATTAGTTTTTACGTTTAGTCTCACAAACTCTCTTATAATACATATATATTATACGTAATATTCTTTTGTTATTTTTATTTATCATTCATTATACTGTATATAAAAGTCTTTTCTCTCCTGATATAAAACATACCAAAAATTGATGTCAATTTTGTAACAATTGCTGTATAAAACACTGATTATAATTACATTAATAACTATATAAAATGTCTAATTATATGACGATTAAAATTAGTTTGTAGTCATTATTGTCAGTCATTAGAAATCAAAATTGTTGTATAAATACTATACTGTTATTATACAATATCTCTACTTAATTTGCATTAAAATAGATTGGTCGATGAGTTAATTAATACATTATATAATAAAAATATGAAAATATATAATAAGAATCTTTATAACAAAACATTTTATATTCAAAGTCAATATCATTTGAAATTTGATAATTATAATGAGCAAAATAAATTATTTTTATTTATTTTAATAAATTATTTTATGAAAATTGATCTCTAAAATAAGTAACACAGATATATTATACATTTTTACATTTTAAAAATTTAATAAACATTTTGATTTTATAACATAAAAATTACATAAAATAATATTAAATATAATCTTTTCAATACAAACTTAACTTATTCATGATTATATCACAATTTATATATATTAATAACATTAAATCATACAATACAATCATATTTTGTTATGAATTTGAATACACCGGTAGTGAACAACAAGGGCTGTCTTTATTATTAACACATTTATAAATGATTATTTAATAAATATTTATATGCTATTTTACATGATTACAGCATATAATTAATCATTTGAGACACTGACTTTTTTAAAGCATTTTAAATACTATAAAAAATATCCCAAAATATCCTTTAAAATAAAGTGCCTTTAATTTGACACAAAGTTATATAAGAAATGAGAAACAGGAGAACCCTTCAAAAGAAATTGGTTGTCATTTGCATTAATTTATATGTCTCTCAATTTTTTCAACCAAGATAATTTATTAAATACTCTTTTTTGAAATTTTGTACTATGTTTTATTTGATATGATTTTTTGCAGTACTTTTTTTTGCATTTTTTCAATCATTTTTACGTTAGAATGCATGAATGAACATTCATTAAAAAATCTAGTAATATATAACTTATATGTATATCATATTTGAAAAATAAAATTACATCTAAACCAGTCATACGGTTCCTCAAAAGTGGTATCTCTCTGACTAAAGCTATGGTTTAGAATCTAAACTTTAGATCTTTAAGTGTCTCCAAAGCATTGAAATGAAAAAATAGGTAGTACTGTATACTAGTGTACAGTATTTCTGTTGTTCAAAAATCAATTTCAGACAAAATCAATTTACTAGTTGTTTTTCATATTCATTCTGATTTGCAATTAATCAGGGTCACTGTAAAATCTTATTATATCTTAGAGAATTAAAATAAATAACATTTTCTATTATTCTCAAAAATTCTGATATTCTCTTAATATTGTAAATTAATAATTATTAATAGTATTTTGTATATTTTTACTAATTAAATAATTTAATAACATTTATAAAAATTGTAGTTTAAGGTCTTGTTTGTGTCAAGAGTCAGATATCACTATATGGTATCTTATAAACCAGTTATTGATATCATATTTACTGTTTGTCAGACTGTGAGGAGGAGATAGTTGTTGTCAAAGTATTTGGCATTGAAATGATAATAAATAAGTGAGAGAACTAGCACAATTTGTATTTTTGTAATTGTTTTCAACAGTTGTGTAGATAAAAATGTCGGAGAAAATGGTAACATTAGTGTCGAGTTCGGGTAGTTTTGGTGGTAAACAAGAGGTTTGGAGCCATGAAAGCAAAGAACTGAAGTGTAAAATGAATTTCTCGGTATATATCCCACCGAAAGTGAAAGATAATTCCGGAATCAAAGTACCGGTGCTTTACTGGCTATCAGGGCTTACGTGTACCGAACAAAACTTCATTATCAAGTCTGGGTTTCAGAGATATGCCTCAGAGGAGGGTATTATAGTGGTCGGTCCCGATACCAGCCCTCGTGGCGTCAACATTGAGGGCGAGGACGACGACTATGACTTCGGAAGCGGCGCCGGATTTTACGTGGACTCCACTCAAGACAAATGGAAAACTCATTATCGGATGTACTCTTATGTGACCAAAGAGTTGCCCAAAATTATCGACGAAAACTTTCCCGTTATAAAGGGTTGTCAATCGATTTTTGGTCACAGTATGGGAGGACATGGCTCACTCATCTGTGCCCTTAAGAATCCAGGTTTCTATAAGAGTGTGTCTGTATTCTCACCCATTTCTAACCCGGTTGTTGGAAAGTGGGGTCAAAAATGTTTGACTGGATATTTGGGTAATAATAAGAAGGATTGGGAGGAATGGGACGCAACGCTGTTGGTTAAGAAGTATAAGGGACCGGCACTTAATCTGATTGTAGAGCAGGTATGCATTTGTATTATTTGTATGTAACTTAATATCCAATTATACTAAATTGTGTCCAATAGGGTGCTGAAGATCCCTACTTAGCCGATGAGCTCTACGTCCAGAACTTCATCGATGCCTGCGTTGGCGCTAATGTTGCCGTCGATTATCGTCTACACGAAGGCTATGACCACTCGTTTTACTTTGTGTCCACATTCCTCGGGCAGCATATCAAACACCATGCTAACATTTTATATAGCACTGTTTACTAAATGAAATTAGCACTTAATAAAAACAATAATTAGTCATTATTAAACTCAATAATTAAGAAAACCAATTTTGATTTTCATAATGAGAGTATAAATCAAATAAAGTGATGTCTATTATATTTAAAATGATAATTGAGAGCAGAAGTGGGATGGAAAGGGTGATCATAAATCACAAACATTTACTATTAATACTAATTATGCATTCAATGATTGGAGAGAAGCAGTGGTTTTCAATGTTCATACGAGTGCCACAAATCAATTACACTTAGAGTACATAATTAACTCATATTCTGTTGATAAGTGTGTTGAATACGAAAGTTATTATATGTTATACGACTATAGAGTTATTGTATGGTTAATAACAGTGCGATTAACGCAGTATTACTTAATGGCAATAATTCACTGCAATACCAACACAATTGCTATGAAATAAACAATAATGTGAATGGTGTGATCGCCGGCATGTCTGTCCATATGTTAGTGGTCTCTACGTATAGCCACTAATACTCGGGTTTTCATAATAATATGACTCTTGACTTATCCATAGCTTTCATTTCCTGAGCGTTTCATTTCTTGATAGCCATAAATCCCTTCATTTTGATGTCGATCCCTTTGTTTGGATCCCATTAGAGCTGTATATCGAAACACACGACGAAATCCCGACCCAATCCTTATTGAGTTTGCATTATTAGTTGCTTAGAGACCAACCACCAGGATATGTGCCACTCCAACCCAACGCATCCCTGTCCACTGATGTGTATGAATATCGTCCAGAAATCAGTGCAAACAAAGTCTATTCTTCTCTCTATTCCTTTCTCTTGGAAACCAATATATTTGTACTTCAATTGAGAGGAACGACACTAAATGCTAAAGAATTGGAGATTTTTGTGTCTCACTTATGTGTCTGTCATACGACAAAACGCGTAATAAGTTTCAAATTAGATAACTATTTGGCGACTCGTAGTGTATATGAGATCTCCAATGATGTCTCGACTCTCACCTCTCTATCGTGTCTTCAAAACTGAATCGTAAATATAATTATATACCAAAGGCTCGCATGTATTGCATGGAAAGGCACAGTAATACGACAGATGACAACATTTTGCAATTTGCTCAACACATTCAATACATAACACATTTATATGTGTGTATGAGTTGACACAAACACTCAAATTCGCATTTAAGGCCTAATCTCGGGGTCGCAAACGAGATGTAACTATAATATGATATTCATTTTGCTATCGATTTTCAATGCCTTTGCCGTGGATTTGGAGAAAAAATTGTGATAATTATTTATAGCGCCTCTAAGACCACTTCCCAGTGATGTTTGCTTAGGAATTCATACAAAACTCATTGACTTTTAATTAAACTTTTTAAAGTCGATTAACATGCTAATTTATTGACATCAGTTTGTATGTGTACAATATTCAGTGAATGCGTAAATATATTTTGTTTGCTACCTTATAGTTAGTGTAAAATTATTATATAATGAATGATAGCACCAATTGATATGTTGTGTGTGTCCGCACTGATAGGCAAACGAGTTATATGTCAATCAATTTCTATTGTAATATTTCATGTTTTATGACATGTCATTAATTATTTTACTAACAGAAATATTTAGCTCTGACACACTTTATATAGTACAGTATAAAAATACATTTTCATTATGATACCGTGTTATATTATATTTTATGTATGAATATTGAAAAGTTTCTTTCCGTGAAACGTCTAAAAGTAAGTTTTTTTGATGTTTAGGCATCACTTACTTTAGTATCACATTTCATATGATGTCATTGGATGCAACAATATAAATATCATAATCCTTATTTTAAAATATTTTAGTACTTCATTAACATTACGGATTAAAATATCAAATTCATCAATTTAATTCATTTATTGACACATAAATCATTATAAATTATATAAAAAATTAATAATAAATAAATTAATTATTACAATTATTACAATATTGTTATGTGATTAAAGTAATATTTCATAATATGTCAATTTTTAAGATTTATAAAATATAAATGTGGTTGCTAAATAGTTTATAGGAGAATTTATATAATGGTATCCTTTGGGCAATATTTTTCTTTATATTTTTAAATAATAGATATTTTGTGTAAATTTTTAAAACACAAAAAACGCAATCCCTGCCAACAAATCTCAAAGTCAATTGTTTTTCACAAGAATTTGTGTTTTTCAATACATTTTTCTATTCTTACCAACAATTCAGTTACAAAAATCATAAAAAATAAATTTGTTATCAAATAAAGAGAAAACACAATAAGAAGTAGAGATAAGTTTGAAATGCAGTCACTTGCGGTCCAAAAATGTATTAAATAATAATAAACTTTAAGTTTTGAGAGATATTAGCGGATATTAAATAAAAATATGTTCACGTTTTGCAACAAATCTTTAACTTTTTTGTTGGACTATTATAGTAAACGTACCGATTCTGTACAAAGTATTGTAGTTTGTATTTATATATTATGTAACACTTGTCCATACAAACCATTACAAGTTTAGAAGACTGAACACTAACTATACATAAAATTAATTAAAATACTATTCATCTGACTCATCAAGTTAACTAATATTATAATATCTCTCTAAACTCTGTTGTTTTATTATAAATTTTAAATTATAATTTGTTGACAAAAATAAATCAAAAATGTTCTAAAAATTGTTTCAAATCCTTGCAGACTGTTAGTCCTAGATGCTATTTATTGTAAGAGTTGATTTTAAATTCTTAGTATATATACGCTATAATATATTCATTTTTACAAATTGACAAATAGCTTTATCATATAAAACATAAAAATTGATTGAAGTATTAAAATCAGTGCAAATACTTTAAAGTATTGGTACACAGAATGATAAAAATTATTTGAATACTTTCTGTAATATCAACACATAAACAGAAAATCATGTAAATAATAGATTTATCTTATTTTTGAATTATAACAAATGATTTAAAAAATAAAAACACAGACTTAGTCTTCCATATATTGTTATTCACTTCTATAATAAGAAAAATTAATTTATTTTCATATAAAAACAATACATAAGAAAAGATTTTATTTGAATTTATATTCATTTTGATTCATTCAAATAGCGTGTACTGTATTCAACATTATTGTCAAAATCGAGTCTTTATTTTGTTTGTTCAGAAGCCTTACCTCTCGAGGGGATTATCCATTGATTTCACTCTCAATACACGAGTACTGCATATAAGAGTTTTTAAACTTCTTATTTGAGTGAAAATTTTAACTTTCTTTATAAAGGTTAACGACATATAAGTCCTTAGAAAACAATTTTTGTAAATTAAGCCCAAATTACTTTCGATAATATTTCATAGACTACAAGGAAGTGATTGATTTTGATGATTAGTTTGAAATCAATTTAAAATTACATTTGAAAAGAGTAAAACAACTTGGTTAAAACTTGTGAGAAAGTGTGACAATGTTATTCGTAAAATTATTACCAAATTTAATAACAATTTTAATTTTATTTGAATTTTTATTATTATTTGTGACACAAACCGTTGCCACCGAATCGACAACTCGAGTGAAAAGTTCATATGAATATGACTTCTCACCCATAGATAAGAGTGAATCAAATGCTAAGACCTCGACATTCACGGGTCGTAACGATCAAAATGCCATCAATTTATACCACGAATACAAGGACTCTATATATGTGGACAGATATTACAACTCGTCGTTTGCATTGAATATCCCACTGTTTGCCGTAACATTACCCGGACAGGGACGTGGTGTTCATTCACCCACTCTCACCAGTTCCACTTTTAACATTGGTAAGTTTATTATAAACAACAAATTGTTTGGTAAACTAATTATGCAGTTTTAATTAAATTTTAATCTCGCAAAAATAATAATGTTTGAATGGCACCGGTAGGTTCCTCGATAGTGTTGTCTGGTATGATTCTGGCGGGTATAGCCCTATTCGCACCGCTCATATTCCCGGAAAGCCGTCGGAGCTTCGAGAGGGCTATAGATATAAAATCGTTGAACGAGTTGATGAGCGACCAAATGGACGACTTCTCTGAACATGTTTTCGGACACAAACTGAGACGAGACGAGAGGAAATCAATAGTGAAGACATTGGAGCGACAGTTCTCGGAGTTGTCCACAAATATCATCCATTCATTGCACGAATCCATTGAAGATTTGCCACATTTTCCGGCCAAAAGACTCGAGGAATGTATTAAATGGTGTGTTTGTGATGCACACAAAAGTCCACAAAAATATGGATATTTAGGGAAACTGTTTCGATCCATATTCCCACACAAAACGAGTGAAACATTTATGACAAAAGTCTTAGAAAACTATCAAAAGCCCGCAAACCATGGAAGGGATGCCAATGTGAGCTGTGGTGACAAATACGATGACTGCTCCATAAGTATTGTGGATATCATACAAGAGTTTAATATCTTGGCCTCAAATCAATTCAATAAGAATGGAAAGTCCAAAGACAAGAGTTTTATTTGGAAAGTATTGGAGTATTATTTTGACATTTGATTTGACAATTTTCAATTAGCTTTACTTTTCAATTCACTTAAAAATAATTAACACAAATAATCATAACAATTTTATTTCATTCCCTTTCATCTCATTTATAAAAAATACTATATATACTGTAATGAATAATAAGAGAGTTTATTTTGTGTTAGAAATGATTAATAAATAATAAATAAGGGAAATGACCAAGAATACAATATTTATAATACAGTAGAATTTCACTAACAAGTAAATATGTTTTAATTGTAAAAGTTGTACTGATTTATCCGACTTATTTTGAATTTTGTCTCTTTTAAGATCAATTTATTTGTTTCCAAACATTTGATAAAATATTTGTTTTTCTCATTTTTATAAATGAAGACATCGTTTGTCTCATACAAAGTCGATATTATATTTATGTATTCAATCATTAATGGAAAGGGATTTCTTGCGATCAAAAACAAAGCCCAATATTTACATCAGTTGTACAGACCGTGTGTTTTGTGATAAATCTGTGCTTTAGTTACTTTAATACATAAGTCATTTCATAAGTAGACAAATGGAAAAAACAAATATTCATCACACAATGCATAAGACATCACTATTTTCAGCAAAGTTTGCATTTTATTCAAAAGACAGAAAAGTCCCCCAAAAATACAAATGCTTTTTAGTCATGCAATACATATGCAAAACAAGGCAAGCATCAAGTGATAAGAGCACAAGGAGTGGGAGTTTGGAGATTGGGAAGGGGATAGTCGACTGAGACTGTGTCTTACGGGGAGGGAGAGAGACACTGGCAGACAATTATCACAAAAACTTTTAAATACATGTTTGAACACAGATTTAAGAGTCAGGAAGTGGTGCTGTGTTAAGGAATTTGGGCTGAATTTTATTTTTAAAACATGTACTTAAATAACACACATATTCTGTTGAACTGCTTATACATCTAAAATAACAAAGTCTGAGAGCATGCCTGACGATCCATCCCAACACCTCATCATCCCTTTAGTTAAGGCAATCATAATCTCAAACATTAATAACAAAACTCCCTTTAAATACACTTTTTAATTGACTTGAGTTTTACATATTAAGTAAACTTTGGATTTTGTGCGAAAATTAATATCCATTGAATGCATGCGTTTAATGGTGTGAGACATGAAAATGCAAATAATATCTTAATTTATATCTCTTTTCTTCGTTAACTATCGTTAATATAACTATCATATGATATGATATAAAAATCAAAAACAATTCCTTAATGACATGTATTTATGATAGTTTTATGTCTGGTTCACTGTTTTGATTAAGTTTCACGTTATATATGATATGCAAATAACGTATAATTTTTCTTGAGACAATCGCATACAATATTATTTCCATACATTCATCAGTTATTCTGTGTTTGTTATACAGTTTTAATGACTTTTTGTTTTGGAGTTAAAAATGTGTTTAAAACTAAATATCGATTCTGTCATCTCATATACCGTTAGTTACGCCAGACATGGCTTACAGTTGCGGTAAGTTTTGCTTAAAACAAATTATTATATCTCTTTTTTATGGAAAAATATTTTTATGAAATTCAACTCAAGAATTGAATTCTAGTGTTGAATACAATGCAACACAAAATCCTTATTCGTTATATTCTCGCTGTATTTCTATAAAAAGATTTGTATGAATAAATACCGGTGCTGTAAGTACTGTTGTATAACGAACTCCACTATATATTGTATATTTGTATTCATTGCACATCACTGTCATGGCTTTGAAATGCTAAAGAAATGGTAGAGGGATGGGAGGACAGGCATAAAGAAAGTGAACTCAATTTGTGCGAATACATGTCGATTCGCATTTGATGGCAAATATACATAAATGTAAACCATTTTTCAGGCTTTTGGTCATAAAATTTTGTTACGATTCACGTCAAGTGTTTCACATCAATAGCTCCTTGAGATCAGAGCTCCACTCATGAGTGGACACAGAATTTGTGATTTCATTTCAATTCTCAATCCAAAAAGTGCTCGTATTTTGAGATTTTATTTTCAAATTATTACACAAATTGTTGCTAATTATTAATTTATAAGATTGTTATAACATTGTTCATAATTGTGCTTGATTACTTTGCAAACTATCAATTACTTAATTTCTAAATAATCAAGCATACAGCATTTGTTTGGTTATTTGAGCATAAGTAAGCACTGGCCCATACCGGTGCCTTTGGTTTCAGTAGTTTCCTGGCAAACGAGTCCCGAGTCAGGGCAACACCGATACATATCGGGGCTCTCAGTATCGCTATCCAGCACACATCCCGACAACAGAGGTTGGCAAACGCGCTGACAAACCCCTTTCCAGGCTAGGAAATGACCCTGGTCGTCCGCGTCGAAATCAGTGTTTACACATTGCAATCGCTCGACAGCGGGGTTATGCGGGGTTATGTAAGAGTTATGGTTACAACACTGTTTCTTAGCCACACCACCACATGAGTCCCAGTTTTCAGAGCAAGACTTTTGTTTAGCCCATACTATTTGGTTTGATATAAAATATAAGTAAATTCTTTCCATATAAAAATGCATATATTTCTTACCGGTGCCAATGAATCCCAACACTAAACATATAATGACTATTCTACTCATTTTATAAAAGTTAGATTTTACTCTTAAAACTTTTAATTATAAGATTTGAATATGTTTATAATCATTTGAACAGTTTTTACTCCTTATATACAAAAACTATCTCATTTACAAACTTAACTTTAAAGTTTGAACTTAAGAGGACAAATGTCCTGTAATGTGCAGGGTAATTTTTTGTTGCATATATCTGTTTAAACTAATATATCAATTTGAAAATAATCTTATAAGTTATAACATTGATATAAATTAACAGAATTTGCGTTTTTGTAATAAATTAATTGTTTTCATTTCTATTTTTGACAATTTTACTTAATAATAGATAATTAATTATGAAATTGTTTTTCCATAGTGTAAAATAAACTTGCAATATTATAAGTGATTTATGAATATGTTCAAAACATATGTCCAAAACAAACGGTAATATCTGAACGTTTAAATCTTAACTTTATAATTAATTATGAAATTGTTTTTCCATAGTGTAAAATAAACTTGCAATATTATAAGTGATTTATGAATATGTTCAAAACATATGTCCAAAACAAACGGTAATATCTGAACGTTTAAATCTTAACTTGGAAATTATATTTAAACACTTATTTTAACTAAATTTTATTTTTAAGAATATCTCTTTTAAAATGTCTTAAACAAAGTACAATACCTATATATCTAATGGCATATAACTGAACTTACTCTGCTCAACTATCGTTTAAATTATTATGTGAGTTTGTAAACTAACATGCAAGGTTTATTTACTGACAATTATATTAAATGTGCAATAAATGCACAAATGTTTAATATATAATTTTGAATTACTAATTCTGGGTATTAGCTGCTCAGGATTATTTTGAGTCGTTTATATTCAGTCTTTGGTCCTGGGCAAAGCTATGTTCAATTGTTACTATATTTATTTTAACTCGACTTTTTATTTTAAATATTTTACAGTTAAACTTAATATATTTAATAAACACCAACTTGTTTTTATTAAATGCTTTTATTTATAAATTTTAATAATTATTAAAACAATTAGCTGATAATCATTAAGAAGTTTTAAAGTTTTTGATTACTTATTGTGGCGAGCACTGTCCCCAACCGGTACCTCTAGCATTACCAGTTTCCCGACATACGAGTCCCAATTCGGTGCAACAGCTGTTATATCCGAGCGTACATATCGCCCACAATGACCCACAATCGCGTTGACAAACCCCGGTGTAGGCCACAAACCGTCCGTTACTGTCATTTTCAATAGCCGTAGCAACACAGCTCTGTCCGTGTCCCTCAGCACAGCACTGTCTCTTAGCTGAACCACCGCACGGGCCGTTCAATGCAGAGCACGACTGCTGAGCCCATCCTATTTGGTTTGGCATCATATATGAATCAAACATTTGCTATATTTTTATCAATATATTTCTTACCGCAACCAATAAATCCCAACACTAGGCATAAGATAATTATTTTATTCATTTGATATCAGTTTTCGTTTACTTTTACCAATGTGAAACTTTTATTTTAATAATAACCATATAATTAATTCTACTTCTTATATACTAAGAACCATTCATTTGCACTTAATATTTTGATCTAGGGCAAATGCCCGAAGAATGTACTAGAACATATTAAAATTCTCATATCCTATTTAAAATTATTTATCAATAAAAATAATATTGTAACATTTGTATAGAAACACAGAATTTCTGGTTTTTGATGCCAATATATTAATCTGATGCAAAGGTTTTATTTGAATTTCATAATAATTCATAAAAAACCTGAAGTAATATGAGTGATTAATTAATTAATTAATTATGTTTAGTACAGAGATCCAGGGCATTACTTACGCGAAATAAAAAGGAAAATATTACAAAAAAATCTTTATTTTATAAAAAGTTTAAAAGTAATTTTTATAGTTATGTAAAATTGTGAATTTAAATTTAGATTTTTAAAGCAAACACCCCTGTTTTGTAAATTAATACATTTATTTTATTATTGTTTTATTTTACTGTTAAAACTTTTAATTATAAGACTTGAATATGTTTATAATCAATTGAACAGTTTTTACTCCTTATATACAAAAAACTATCTCATTTGCAAACTTAAATTTAAAGTTTGAACTTAAGAGGACAAATTTCCTGTAATGTGCAGGGTAATTTTTTGTTGCATATATTTGTTTAAACTAATATATCAATTTGAAAATAATCTTATAACAATGATATAAATTAACAGAATTTGCGTTTTTGTAATAAATTAATTGTTTTCATTTCTATTTTTGACAATTTTAATTAATAATTTATAATTAATTATGAAATTGTTTTTCCATGGTGTAAAATAAACTTGCAATATTATAACTTATAATTTATAAGTAATTTATGAATATGTTCAGAACAAATGTCCAAAACAAACGGTAATATCTAAACATTTGTACCTTAACTTGGAAATTATATTTAAACACTTATTTTAACTAAATTATATATTTAAGAATATCTCTTTTAAAATGTCTTATTCAATGTATATAACTGAACTTACTTTGTTCAACTATCGTTTAAATGATTATGTGAGTTTGTAAACTAACATGCCAGGTTTATTTACTGACAATTTATATTAAATGTGCAATAAATGCATAAATTTTTAATAAATAATTTTGAATTACTAATTCTGGGTATTAGCTGCTCAGGATTATTTTGAGTCGTTTATATTCAGTCTTTGGTCCTGGGCAAAGCTATGTTAAATCGTTAACTATATTCATTTTAACTCAACTTTTTATTTTAAATATGATA